GTTGATTTTATACTACTTCAGGAACTGAACTTTGATGCTGAGTAAAATTATATTATTTCTCATTCAAGCTACTACTGCTTTCTATCTTAAAAGTCTGAGATAAAGTCAAGAGTAGTGATCTATGAAAGAAAGAGATTAAGATATTAATTTAATCTAAGATTTGATATCATATCTGACCCTGATATTCTGATGAGTGATATTATAGATAAAGAAAATGAGTTTGATACAATACAGCTTATAAATATCTATAATGAAAAGTCATTGAAGAAAAATAATAATATCTGAATAATTGATAGAGAATTTCTGAACATAACTTCATTAAGAAACTCTATAATTGCAGGAGATTTCAATGCACATCATCTCTGATGAAATTCAGAATGCAAGAGAGCAGTGAGAGCTGATAATCTGATTGAATAAATTTTTGAGCATTCAATAGATTTGATTAATAAGTCTGATCAACAAACATTCTTTAGAAAAGGCATGAAACAGAAATCTATTATAGATCTAATCTTCATATCATAAATTCTAATGAAAAGAAGACTTGTAAACTGATTTATTAATTCAAATAAGACATCAGAATCAGATCATGAGATTATTTAATTTGATATTGAACTGAGTGAAAAATAAATGAGTGAAAATTCTCTTCTCTCTAATCAGTATAACTTTGAAAAAGCTGATTGAAAAGCAGTTGAAGAAAGTATAAAACTGTTAAAATCTGAAAGACAGAATGAGCTATATTGAAATTCTGATCAAGATATCTCAAATGAAATGCTTAAGAATAGAGTGAAGCTTATTACATCTATTATTCTAACAAGTGTTAGAGATAATATTTCAAAGAGAAAATCTTCTGAGTATTCAAAATCTTGATAGAATGAGAATATCTCATCTAAAAGAAAAGAATTAGCTACTGCTAGAAGAGATTGAAAGAATGATGTAATATCTAATAAAGAGTTCAAAGCTGTCAGAAATGAATATTTTTCAGATATTAAAAGAGCTAAAACAGACTGCTGGAATAAATTTCTTAAAGAAGCATAAGAGAAGAAAGTTTTTAAAGCTTTTAACTATACTAAAACAAGAAGTGTAGCAAAACTTCCAGTCTTAGAATATGAGTTTCAGAATGAATCATATACAGCAAACTCTTTTGAGGAAAAATATTAAGCTTTCATGAGAATTCTCTTTCAGAACTCATCAGATTCAGATTCAGATTCAGAGAAAGAGAATATATCACTTCTTAACTATATTGATAAAAATGACTGGAAATGACCTGATCTTACACAAGATAAATTAGAGTCAGCTATCTTCTCAAGTTCTGTTAAAACTGCTGCAGGTCCTGATTCAATTAATCACTTGATTATTCAAAATACATATTTCTACTTAAAGAATGAATATTTTGAGCTCTTTTTCAATCTCTTAAAAAATGAATATCATTCTGAATGCTGAAGAGAAGTCACTGAAGTAATTCTTACAAAATCTAATAGAAAAACTTCAATTTCTAAGTCATATAGAGTAATATCTCTATTAAACTGCCTAGAAAAGGTTTTAGAAAAGATAATAGCTACTTAACTATCTTTTATAAGCTCTATAAGTGATTCTCTTTTATTCAGTGAATAAATGAGAGATAGAAAACAGTGTTCTGTAATTGACACTGTTCTCTCAGTTGTTCATAATATTCAAATAGCAAAGTATGAGAGTCTGATCTCAACTGCAGTTTTTATTGATATAAAAGAAGTATTTAATCATGTTTCAAAGTCAAAGTTAATTCAGATATTGAAGATATTAAAACTGTCACTTTCTCTAATAAAATGAGTTAACTGTTTTATATTTAAAAGAATTATACAACTCTTCTTTGATGAAATGAAATAAGACAAGACTGAGATAAAAATAGAAGTATCACAGAGATCTTCAATCTCACTTATTTTATTTGCAATATACACTGTATATCTATTCAAAAATAGAAATATAAGAATAGTGTAATCTCTGAGTTATATGAATAATATTGATCTAGTCTACAGCTTAAAAACTATCAAAGAGAATTTGAAAGTAATTGAAGAAGCTGCAAAGAAAATCTTTATTAGAGTAGATATTAATCAAATTCAATTTAATTATGAATAAAACTGAGTTAATTCATTTCTTTTCTAGATTTAATAAGAAAGAACTATCTCTAACTCTTTTAAATAGAGAGATTAAATCCAGTGTAAATATCAAATAATTAGAAGTATGATTAAACTCTAAGTTGAATTTTAAATATTACATTCAACAAAGAACTGTCAAGGCAGAAAGACTATTGAATAACATAATCAGACTATCAAATACAGAGAGAGATCTATTCTTCCAGACTATGAGATAGTTATATATAGTCTGTATTACATCAGTAGCTGATTATGAAGTTCAAGTTTAATAAAATAATTAAGAGAATTTCACTGAACTCTTTCAAAGTCTGTAAAACAGAGTCTTGAGAAGAATTCTGAGAGCATTCAAATCATCTTCTATTAAAGTAATGAAAATTGAAGCTTCAATTTCTTCTTCTGCTATTAGATTTGAAAAGGCCTGTATGAACTATGCTCTGAGAGTTGTAAAGATGAGCTTAAATTATATAATCAGAGAAAGAGTCTCTTCTTCATTTTCATCAATTAACTCTGAAAATGAACTGGATTGAAATAGATTTCTTGATTGAAATGAAAATAATTCTTCAAAGAAAATGTCTTCTCAACTGTACAGACTATACTCTCTGATTAAAAATTAATTTTCTTCTTTAAATATTGAAAAAGTTGATTATGAGAAGTTATCTCTCTGAAGAGAAAAGCTTGAATCTCTTATAGACTTATAAATAAGTGAACTATTAAAAGAGAAAGAATATGAACAGTATTTAAAGAGAATTTCTATAATCAATATAAAAGACTCTATTCTGATTTATTCAGATGACTCAAAAAATGAGAATTTAAATAGATTAGACACAGACATTGCTTATACTGAAGATAATATCAATTTTATCTCAGATTTCTGAAATCTAGACTGTGAATCTGAAGTCTTTGATGCTGAACTATTTATAATAGTGAAAGCTTTCAAACTCATTGAAATAAAATCTTATAAAAGAGGAAATTATTTGAAAGAGATATGAATATTCTCTGATAGTCAAGCTGCTTTAAAAAGACTTAGAAATAATCAGATTTATAATAATTAAATGAATCTTGAACTGATCTTAAACTCTGTTTTAATAATTCAAAAGAGAAGAATATTAAAGCTGATAATTTATCTACACTAAGTTTCTACTCATATGAATATTCATAGTAATGAATTGACTGATTCAGCTGTAAAAAAGAGTGCAGAATTAAGCAGATCTATTTAAAAAATTATGTTCTGATCTTTTATAAAGAGAAAAATAAAAGAATCTTATTTAGATAAGTGAAATGAAAGCTGATAGAAACAAAAGAAGAGTATACATTATTCAAGATTTGAAATAAAACTCAAGTGAAAATCTTGTTTAATTAAATATAAAAAGAAAGTATTCTTATCTATAATACAGCTGAAACTAGAATATAACTATTTTAAATCTTATATACAAAGATTTGATGATAGATTTAACTCAATAAAATGCTTATTCTGCAATATAAATAAGAATTCTGAGTATATTTTAATACACTGTATATTATACAATAGTCTCAGAGTCAGATTGAAAGAGAAGTATAATCTAAATTAATTAAATATAAGATTCTTATTCTCAACTGAGACAGAAATTAAATACTTAATAGACTTTCTATCAGAAACTCAAGCAGCTATAAGAAAATGACTAAATTTAGAATTATCTGAATATAAAGAGAGAAAAATCAATCAGATATAGTCTGTTAAAACAGCTATATACTATCTTTTAATAATTTGTTTTATTACAGTCTTTCTTTACTTTATCTTTTTCTTTCAATTTCTTTCTATCTATCTATTTAATGTGTCTATCTTTAAGACTGTGTTCTCTTTTCCTTTGTCATGATATTGTTAAATGATTTCAAAATATTAAAAGATGTTAAAATACTGCAATTTATAAACAGTTTTTGTATTCTGAGCTGAAATTTTCTGATTTTATATATCTGAAATTAATGAATGTATAATAGTTAACTTTACAGATATAGGAAAAACCCTGAGAACTAAAAGTTCTCAGATAGATATCATAGTCTCTGACTGTATACATCTATAATTGAAGAATAATAATAATAATAATAATAGTTTATTAACTTATCTATAGACTATATCTCTCTTTTATAAATCAATCAAGATAAACTCTTGTGAAAATCTGACTTTGAAAATATATCTATTTACAGATAATTATTCAGAGAGAGCTGAGTAGTTCAATAATATTATTTTCTTTAATAATAGATTAATAAGTTATAGTGAATTTATTATTAGATTTTAGTAAAAGCTGAATATCTGTGCACAGAGATTTAATTAGCTAAAATACAGTAAAAAATAAGCTTAAATTAACCGCATGTAATTTTGACCATCTCTTTAGAGAGTTGGTATTTTTTCAAGATTCATATGCTCATAGCTTACATACTGGAATATGTAGTAAATATATACAATCTTTGCCACTTTCCCATTAATGGAAGATTGGTCCATTCGGAATCATTTCTACGGGCCGGGGTTGGACTGTATGGTTCGTACCGTATATCTGTAAATATGTTCGGTAATAGCGTGAATAATATACACATAAAAAGCACTGGTGGTTGTGTTTAGTACGTGTAAAGATACATATGGTACAAAACCATACACCCGGTGTTCGGCCCCTTCTGTTGCCCGTGCTATTGCGTGCAAACGACTTCGCATCAAAATCGTTGTCACCTCAACCAACACAACATCGCTTGAACACTTCCCATCCGATACTTGCTTGAACACCGAGTATAACGTTGATGCCTTAATTTTCGTACAGTGTGAACAATCTTCGTCGTGCTCATCGAGCCTATGCCAAGCATCCAGGGAGCTTCCATTTCTAACGCGACGCGTGGGCCGCCTAAATGGAGGAAGGCTCAACCATTTTGACGATGGAAAGTGGGACGCCGGACGATTCTTCCCAGGTCAAGCCCCGTGTCTGGAGATGCTTAAACTGCCAATTAAAACATATCCGCTGTGATGGGGCCCTGCCAGGTGAGAAATACCTCTCCGACCATTGAATAGAACTTTAATTGGGACCAAGTCGTCGAATGCTGACATTCTGTTCTATATTATTGCTGGTGAAGTTTGCAGTACATGTTTGCAGAAGGATCGAACATGCCAATACCCCCAATTTTCTGCACCCGCTGCGAAACCCAATGTTCGCCAGCTGGCCTCTAAAAAAAGAGCTTTCAGCGCCTGTCTCGTATGTAGAGCTGCGAAAAGGAAATGCTCCGGAGAAACACCTGGTAAGCTTTTTGCCTTTGTTTTCTGGTAAATTACAGGCCTGGCCACCTAGCCTATCCGGATATAAATCATCATGTATTTCGAATCATCATGTATTTCGGGGGGGGAAAAAAAGAATAAAAAAAAAAAAAGAAAAGAAAAGAAAAGAAAATTTCCTTATTCGGGGAAGCTTGCTCGATATGATTACTGATTCAAACAGTATGTGGACCGTGCCGAAAACGAGGTCTCGAGGCAAATTGTGAATATGATTCTACTACATCCTTGCAACGGTAATAATATTCATTCTCGTGAAGTCATTGCATATTTAAGCACTAAGACATGAATTAGAAAGCGTCCAGAACCACATCGTGCATCTTATCCAGAATCTCCTTCAGATGAACGCCCATCCAAACAGCCCCGGATGTCTCTCCCGACAGTTCTTAAGGAGACTAATGGAATCCAAAAGCAACAGGTACAGCCACGGCTACGCCGACGCGAAAGCCCCAGCTTCCAGCTCCTGGGAGCAATTTCTGAGACACCACCTGAAACAGACAAGTCCCACGAGGGCGATGATGAGGGATCGTTCATTCAAGGTGATGAAAGCCTGGAAAGCCCACGGGGCTTTCAACCGCCTATATCTCCCCTTGCAGGACCATCTGCCACACAAGCCCCAGATATCTCCTCTGTAGGTCAAGAATCTGGTGATTCCGATGGATCTGAAGAAGTTGATGGCAGAGAACCATACTCGGATTCCTCTGACAACGAAACGGAAGTGGATGATCCCGACCTCTTTCTTCCGGGAGTCCGGCAAGCTGTTTTCCAGAGAACTGGTGTCGCAAAACCAGGAAGTACACTTGAGTCTGATCGAGAGCTAAAGCGATTAACCAAAGTTACAAATCGGAAGACAAAATTATCAACATTGTCAACAAATTCGACGAATCTTAGATTTCCTCACCGTATTGTTGCCAATAAGTTAGTCTCTGCCTATCTTTCACGGGAGTTTGTGAATTTGCCATTATTTCATCGAAACACTTTCACCCACCGGTATGAGAAGCTGTGGAGGAATATTGAACTGTGGGACTCAGAAACAGAAGTTTCTCATGAGGATTGTTTGTTTATTGGTCTTCTTTTCGGAGTGTTCGCCATTGCAGCCCTGTTATGCAATCCAGGCCACCTTGAGGATGCTGAACAGTACTTCGCGCGCGCACAAAACCTTGTATTTCTGAATGGAATAGAAAAAGGAGGTATTCTAAACATTCAGGCCTATCTAGTTCTAGCCCAGTACCTTATTGCAGACAATAACCTACCAGTTGCCTGGAAGTTTGTGGGACTAGCCATTCGTGCAGCGCAGTCCCTGCATCTGCATCTTGTTACTGGAAGCCACCACTTGGCTCTGAGGGACAACCAAGAATTATCAAGACGAGTTTGGCATTGCTCACTGATGCTAGAACGGTATGACACAAATAACTTTCTCTACGCATTTTCAAACATAAATTTGCTAAAGCTCTTTCATATAGCATTATCGCCATGAAGATGGGCATTTCAACTCTAACGAAACATTCTTTTGAAACCCCTCTCCCCGTCCCAGGAGACAATGACTATATCGACCACCTCTCAACCAATGAACCCGCGGACCGGAATCCGACAATTGACCGCCCCTCAATCATCGAATTCTTTAACAACTCAGCGCGCCTCTACGACCGATACAGTGACCTCATCACCATCCAAGAGGAACTCCGACTAACCGAACATTGTAGCGCACGCAAGAAACTTGAGGTTTTTGATCCCTCACCACTCATAGCTGTCGATCAGTCCCTCGCCAACTGGCAATCAGGGTTGCCACCTTTTCTACACCCAAATACAGACGTTAACTCAATAAAGAACCTCCTAGCAATGCGTCAGCATAAAATTCTCCGCATCCGCTACCTCCACATGCGTCTCCTCCTGTGGCGCCCGCTATTGGCCATAGTTGCAGCTGCCTCCCCGGACATTGACGCGCGCTCAAGAATGCAAGAAGCAACCTCACAGCGACCCTTGACTCACATAATCGCGCATGAAAGTGCTGTAAAATGTGTCCTCGCCGCAGCGGAGATAATCAATATCATCGACGAAGCCGAGAGGAGCCGCGGTACAGATATCACAAATGAATACGACGCCCTCTCCATCCCGGCAATTTGGGAGACTACGGGATATGTGTTTGCGTGTGCACAAGTTTTTATTGCAGCCCGTAGGTGCCCCAGGGGTGTAATTGATGACCTTGGAGGGATGCAAATGATTAGGGAAGGGGCATGGACAAGTATTGAGTTGATGAGGAAGTACTCACTCATTTGGCCCAGGGCCAACGCGTGCTTGAAAGCATTGGAGAAGTTGGATATTCTTTTCACACCTGGAAGGGATGAGTGTAGAGGTGGACCGCGTGATGGCGGGTTAAGTGACTTGTCGTGGTTGGAATGCCTGCCGATTGACCTACAAGTCTAATAATGACTATACTAGGTTGGGGTGACATTATCTGATTGGCTTCGGTAATTGGATGGTTAACTGGATGTTCATGACCCTGTTTGGCAAAGATGGCGCCAAAACTCTCGTGGCGGTGTGGGTGTTTGGAAAGAATTGCATGCCCCTATTAACACAACCTCGACACCACTTCCATTTCGTGCTTTCTCCTTTGGACACCAACACCTAATTGGTCGATTCCTGAATTTATTTGACTTGGAAATGTTAATAATCAGAAAATTTTTGCTTCGTGTGTTTTGTGTCTCTTGGCCCATACTTCTTCACATTTTGCGCCTTTCCTACTCCCACCCCCTTCCCGAATTATCTTTTCTCTCCTTACCCTTATGCAGGTTTAATAATACTTTCGGACTTTTTTTTTATCATTCCCCTTTCGCCCCGACCCTAGAATCTCCTTCGGCACAGTTGCCTCCCTTAAAAGACGACAATGGCACACAATTCATTCCGGCGGTGGCCGCAAATGTCAACCGATCCATTTCCCAAGTAGAATGCAGACGAGTCCGAGTCGGACCGAGTCACCCACCCACCAAGTCGAGTCCAAGTCGGGCCATGACAACACGAGATGAAACCCGAATCGAGTTCTACGAGCCGAGTGCATCACAAGTCGAGCCGAATCAAGACGAGTCGGGGTCTTGGCGGACCAAGTCCGAGTCAACTCGGGAAAAACTCGGACTCGTCTGTACTCGATCCCCAAGTATTGGAGGGAAGCAAAATTTCAGGTATCTAACAGTACAGTACCAAGGACATTTATCCGGTGCAAAGATGAAAGCATTGTAGCTCTCATTTGCAGGGGTGATCATTCGCAAGATTAAATGAAAAGAAAAAAAAGAAAAGAAAGGAAAAAAAGAGTAATACACAAAAGAAAGACCATGCAGTACCTCAATGTGAAATGCAACGCCGGGGAATCCACCTATATATGCAAATATGCAAAAGGAACCGCTTGTAAAAGAGCAAAAATCCATGTCTAGAATGCGGAAAGAAATATACACAATGAAGGAGAAACAATAGAAAAAAAAAGTTAGATATTTTTACATTACACTTCCCATATCACATACATACCGTTCACTCCACAGCCGCAACTACCTTGCTTCTTCCCCTCTCAACACTAAACTAAATCGACATCACGCTCACCACGACGCAAACAACCATTCCCAGAAAACTACCGCGTATCTCCTTATCGAGCGACAAGAATCCACTTCCCGCCGTGCGGAACAGAGATGATGACAATGTCTTTCGGTGTAGACGGGCGAGATGACCCGGCGCTGGGACCCAGTGGGTGAATTGGCGAAGATGGTTTATCATGATTATTATTATTATTACTATTATTGGGTTTGCTAAGGGATAGCTTTTGAAGCTGTTGTTGCTGTTGTTGCTGTGGCTGAGGGGTATGCTTGATTTCTAATGCAAGGTGGAGGGGCGTCTCTCGGTATAATTGAGGTAGATGTTTATTGCGTTTCTCATTACTAATTATTGTTCACATCGTGGCTGTGCTGTGGTGGTATTGTATGGCTACTGCTGCCTTTGGACAATATTTGTGGCCGAAGTATTTGTGAGGATGGGAGAGGATATTGGTTTCGCTTTTGTTCTTTGTGTGTTGGTTGCCGTATACCCTCCGCACGCCAGAGACGGTGATTGAACTGAATATCCTCTTGCTGGAAGGGTTGAGTATCCGAGGTCTTTGAGGTGTTGATTCTTTTGTTTCCCACAGCTCATACCCAGTAGGGTGGTGTTCAAGATGTATTGACCCGCTTGGGCATGTTTCTGAATGTTACAGTACTAAACCCATGGCAGCATCGACATTAACAACGACAAAAAACACAGACTATCTAGAATATATATATATACCTTCAAACCCATTTGCCAGGCTACTGAACGCAGCGACATTCTTCATGTAGAACACATCTCTCCTGCACATCCTAGATTAAGGCTGGGAAGAGATGAAAGTGGTGTAGAAGAACTGAAACGATCAACAAGGACACACTTGCTCCAACGAGCTTCTGTTGCATATTTGAAGTTATCTCTTTGCCATGTCTCCGTGCTAAGAAGAGGCAGATTGCAACTAGGATGAGAGTGTTAAGAGGGAGTGGGTGATAACAGTGTCCCGCACAAAAAAGAGCCAACAGAGGGGTAACTAGTTATATCAACCAATTAATCTATGCATTCAACAAGAGATATTGATCATCAACTCGGTTACAAAGTAACTGTTGTCTATAGATAGCAGCACTCAGTGTGATGTCGATGCAGCCTTATTAGTTGCGGCTTTAGCCCGGACTTACATCCATACATTCATGAATCACAGACCCTGCTGCTACAAGTGGGTGTCTCCCCCACGATAATGAGCAAAATGAGTTCTATGATAGAGTAGTGAGGCTATTTGCCACGGAGGAAGCGTGGCTGAATGTACTCTGTAGGGGTTATATTTGACTCCTAATCTGATGAATCTCAGCCATGGGGTGGCAATTATTATACTTGAAAATCCTAACTCTGGAGCTCAGCTTCTTTCACTCTGCATCTTCTCTCATCTGTCTACTCCTCTTCTCTTATCATCAGCAGAACTGCAGCACTGTCTCAGCAGATATCAGACTGATAGTATTATATCTGTTCTAGTAGTAACTTCTTTCTGACAGCAGTATATCTCAAATAGAATGAAGATTAACTTGAGAATGAGAAGAATAGACAATATTATATATATTTGATTGAGACTTGAAATAACTGAAAGAAATATCATTTTTCTATTTATATAACAAACAGATTTGATATTATTAATATTATTACTTGATTTATTGCTATTTTTATCATTTTCATTATCGCTATTATACATATCTTGATCTTGTTAATCTGAGTGAATATAGCAGACTTTACTTTTAGATAGATTTTGTATAGCAATTCTTGTTATGAAAAGTAGAGATATCAGAAAATCAGTGAACTTGTACAATTGATCTCTCAGATTGTAACTATGACTTGGCATTTTTTCTGCTGTGTGAAGTGTATGGATGTCGGGATGGTCCCGTCTAACTTCGTACTGCCGATCCAATACCCCCAAGTCAGCCTCCAAAGGAAATGTCTCTGATGAAAATGAAGCAAGGGGTAAAGAGGAAGCCTGCGAGAACTAACTCATTCTGAATATTGTCATCCAGAGTGGTGAATGGATAAGGGAAGAGGGGTACTATCTAGAGAAGCTTTCGCTTGATTGCGAAGAAACAATCGCTCCTGGCCGCCATACAGTTGTGAACCGCGTCGATTAGGATGTCACTTGGTAGGGCAGCGAATGTTGAAGTTGGGCTTTGATTTTGCGGTCCGGGAGGATGAGATATCCCAGAGCAATGGCTGGCAAAACCAATAACGCTGGCACATTTGATATCCTGAATCATAGCTACAAAAGCATTGTGCGACCCTTGCAGCCTTGAAGCTGGGACTCCTCTAATGGACTTCGTGGACAGGGAGCTATGGCTTCTGACCAAGTGTGGTTGGATACGGCCTTGGAAACGCCCACGATTGTGGCGCAGTTCAGCTAAAGTTTTGGCAAAATGCTCTTATGCGATCCGTCATCCATATAATCCGCGCTCGCGCTGAATTTGGGTCCAGCCGCCATCAGGATGGCATGAAGAGGGTTTCAGATGTTAGCCTCTCAACGAGTGAGAGGTGCCATGCTGCTCCAGCTCATCCCACGGTCCATTACGGGACTTTGTTTTCTGGAAATACCGGTATAAAGTCAAAAGGAAATTAGGAATCGGTTAAGAGACAGGTACGACGTTATACCACATCCGATTCGTTTCTAGAATAAAATTGCAGGCAAACACCAATAAATGCTCCCCTCCCCCGACATATTCAAAAGCTAGCTTGTACCATCGTGGAAGGCCATGATGTTAAAGCATAGCATACAGAAACATATACACTTGCACTGCACTCTCACACTACCTCACACACCTCATATTTTCGCCCGTTCGAGCTTTTGCTCCTGAGCCTTGAAAACTTTGACAAGCTGCCGCACGGACAAGTCGAGCAACACATCCTCTGAACCGCCAGGAATACGGACACCAGGAACCTCACGATATATCCCTAAAAAGGGCAAGCAAAATGTCAGACCGGCAAGCCGTGACTAAAACGAAAATATAAGAACAAAGGGAGAAAGAAACTTACGTTCAGCAACCTCCCCCTGTCCAGTTCTCGTCAACCCATTGCCACCGAACAGGAGCACTGCGACCTGCGCGCACTCGTTAAGCACCATACCAGCCTTCGCCTTAGCCAGTGCCGTCAGGCCTCCAAGCCTGAAATCACCTTCATCCTTAGACATATTATTCACCTGGTACAGGAATTGCTCAGTCCACGCCCACAAACTCTCCAGCTCCGCGCCAGCCTTTGCAAGCCGGTGTCGAACCACAGGCTGATCCATCAAAGTCTTTCCGAATGCCTGGCGCTTGAGACAATATTCGAACGCAGCGCTGAGAGCCACGCGTGCCTGGCGCACTACACCCACGACGATGGTGAGACGCTCGTGGTTGAAGTTGGTCATGATATATTTCATGCCCAAGCCTTCTTCGCCGACGAGGTTCTCGACTGGAACCTTGACATCGTCGAGCTCGATGAAGGTAGTTCCACCGGCAGCTTGGCCGGTGACAGATAATCGGCGCATGGTTACACCGGGTTGGTTTTTCAGTGGGACAATCACGAGGGACAGGCCGCTTGCGCCTGGTCCGCCCGTCCTCACGGCCATGGTGGTGTAGTCTGCCCAGATTGCGTTTGTGATCCTGAATAAGGTGCATGTTAGTCTTCTCATAAGCCAATATCTATCCCAAGGCAGTCGGTATATTTCTTTTGGTATGTCATGGTCTCGCATACCATTTCTTAGTCCCGTTAATGATGTAGTGTTTTCCATCGGCCGTTTTGTTAGCCGTGGTGGTAATATTGGCAACATCGCTTCCGGCATCCGGTTCTGTGATTGCAATACATGATCGCTTCTTGCAAGTCAAGAGTTCGGGAAGAAACCGTTCATGGAGCTCAGGGCTACCAAATTTGATCACCGGTGGGACGCCATATGCCATGCCGGCACACAGGGAAGTCGGGGGCCCGCTTAATCCCGATCGGTTCATCTACAGAGTTCAAAATCAGTAAACAGCGTTCTTCTAGGAGAGATGTAACCACAGTTTCTAGAATATTAAACCCCCACCTCATCCAAGTAGATCCCAGTATATAATAAATCCCAATCCTCCACTTTAACCCCCAGAATATCATGGATACCGAGCTTCTTTAACCAGGCCACCGGCAGAGGGGATGCAAGGTTGGGAAGCAGCATATTGTGTTGAGCGAACGTATGCCAAACATGCTCTGGAACTGTGCCCTCCCGCTCCCACTCGAAGGCATGGGAGATCAAATTCTCCCACAGGAATGCGCGACATGCTTTCTGGAATCTGCGATGGCCTTCGGTATAATATGGGGAGGGAAACCCGCAGAGGTATGGGGGCTCTGAGAACGGGATTGGGTTGGGTGAGTTGGTAGCCATGACTACGGACAAGGCTTAGTGAACAGATATTATGCTATATATTCTCAGGTTCACTGTTTGAAAGTAAGTTTAAGTCCCCAGGTTGGTTAAATCGTAGGCCCGTGTGGGGAGAGCTGCGCTTTTAAAAGATCATTGCCGGCTGCTGGTCCTGGCGGGCGGCGGGGGCAAGAAGACGAGAGACGGCGCTAGATCCCTGGTCCCGAGGAACCGTTAGCGCTCTCAGAGCTCAATCCGGGGATGGGGAAGACAGCTGGTGCAGTCATATTCATTATAATTG